AAAATGAGGTGCGTACTTGCTGAGCCGTCTCCAAGCCGCTTCTTAATCGGAGCAAAACCACCAGACCCTTTCGTCTCTGATTCTCTGTGTTATCTGCACGTCAGGGCTAACATGTGCTCCCCGGCTTATCCTCCGAGCCGTGTGTCATCCCAAACGCGTGGCGGCCCCATATGGGTACTATCGAAGGTGCGGTGATTTGCCTTCCATCATTGATGCACCCTTTGTCGACGAGGACAGCACATTCTGAGCAAAACGCAGTGTACAAGAATTCAACTCGAGCCTGCAAAAGTCGCATGTGGCCTGCATCATACAAGTAATATCCCATACTCGTTACGGTCTTCCGCTGGATGAAGCCCTATTTTGTGCCCCTGCCCCTTGCACACCGTATGAGTTATTTGCAAGTGTGGCAGCCTTACTCGCCATTTCTTCTTTCGGGTCCTTACTTTCTTTTGATTCCCAGAGACTATCCTTCAACTCCACATTGCTGGTTCCGATACGACGTTAGATGAACTTTTCCGGAACCCAACACGAGCACGTCAGTTGTCCAGGGTGGACGCGACAGCTTTGTCCTTTGTCAAGGAGGTACGAAATACTTTGCTCACCATCACAACCGAATCTGCATTGCCTTTTTCCGATACTTGACGCTTTACTTACCGCACCAGTCTCCCACACCTCTCTGTGTCTGCACACCCTCCTAGATTACAGTTCTGTCTTTGCCCCTGATGTTACCCCTTGTCGAGTTCCGTCAAGCCAACTCGAGGATCCCAACTTCCATCCCGAGGCAGAGATAACTTGTAGCCGTTTGACTGGCCTGCACGGGCCAGATATTCGCTACCTTTCCTCATTTGGGGTTTGATTCGGGAAGCAAGTGCTTCTACATACGCACCAATACGATGAACACGCACTAACACGACGCCATTCATACTGCAGGAAACGAGCTCAAGAAGTTATGCAGAGCGGCAAGCTTGCTGCACATCAGAATACCTCTTACGTTGCAGGGTGCGATTGCGACTGAAAATTAGGCGGCTCGGACGGAAACAAAACCATAACACTAACGAAAGAAGAAAAGGAATAAAATGCAAAAGAAGCGGCTTGATCAAACACAGTGTGCATCATTTGTGGCCCTCGCGCTCCTCACTCACCAGCAAACCGAACTACCTCTCTGCTCGGTTCTGGGCACTTTTTGTCTTCGTCGTCGTCCCGTCTCCTAGCTCCCCTGTCCTTGTTTGACACCTGCTAATCATGTTGGTCACGCATCAATCCTGGAGGTCAAAACGTTCATAAAGTCGGCCGGGACCCCCACCTAAGCCTTCCCGTGGAAAACGGAGGGATGGAAAGAAGCAAAAAAAAACAAAGCAAAGCAAAGTCAAGACGAAAGAGAAAAGAACATTATGAAGCATGTGGGGTCATAAGTTGGGGGACCTTGAAGGCTCGGATCCTTGTGTCATTTCTCCACAAGCTACCCTGTCCCTGCTCTATCGCCATCTTCTGTGGCATTGTATCCTTCTGCATGCATCCGCTTTTGCATTTTTCACGTTTTTTTTTCTGTAACTTTCAGGGCCTTTCCTAACCCATTTTGCTTTGTCTCTTAGCCGCTATCGACTTTTTTCCATTCTTTTATCCCCCTTTCATTTTTTGGGGATGTACCCTCCCTCTTACCCGTGTTCCCCCATCTACCTCGTTCTGTGACCATTGGTCTTGAGCTGTCTTTTGTTCCGTTGCTGTGCTGCCGTTGTGTCCTAACTCCAGATGCTTCCGTTCGTGCCCTCCTAGCTTCGGAGTACAGTGAGTTGATAAAGATACCAATCTTCTCTTACATCCCCTCAGCTTGCAATTTCAAACCTATCTGACTCCCTGTTCTAATCCCTTTCAATCTCCCATCAGGTCCTCGGACAGACTCTCCACACTGAGCATTTTACGTTGCTGGAACTTTGAAGCTCTTATATGATCACCCCACACAGGAACCGAGCACATACATATAAATATATATCTCTCCTGCACAGTTTTGGCAACCCACGTTGGCCTCCCACGCCCACAACCAACTTGTTTGGCCATCCCACGCGCTCCCACGCTTACACCCACGCTACGACTCAGCTTTCCAAAGAGCCTCACCATCTCGAGCAGCCTCTTTCTTGTCAAGGACATTCTAGAACGAAGGACACACCCCTTCTTCCACATTTCACCCACGCGCGTTCCTGTGCGCCCCCATTCCCAGTTTTATTGTATTGTGTGCTTCGCCCTGAGCTTGCCCCTACGACCCCCGCGTCCCCCAACCCGGAACTTTACACTCAGTTCAATTCCTTCACCTTTTGAGTGCAGTTGCTTTCAACGATCCTAGTTGTTGTTGGTCATCGGCATCGCAGATAAACTAAGCATCTCTTACTCTTTGCGTGTTTCCAAAAGAGGCAACTCAAAGTCCTCGTTTTCAGCCCATCGCTGCGTACCCCCATTCTAGAGCGACAGGGCGGAGTTCATCCCACGCCGCTAGACTAGTTCCCGTTTTCACACCACCGATCTCTTCACCGAATCTAAACATGGCACCCGCCGCCATGGTCGAAGATGCGGCCACGCATTATCCCACCTATTCCAAAGCGTCGACCGTCAACGCTTCTGTTCTGCATGGCCCTCGCGATCTAAGATTGGTAAGGCCACCCCCACGCCCCTCAATTACCCCAGATCGTGCGGTTACACAAGATCGTGCTCAACTACAAGGGTTCTTTTACGTCAATTCTGCATAGAATTGCGGGGAGCGAGCGAAAACAAGAACGGCGGTTTTGTGTACGCGTTCAAGGTGGCTTGCATGGGCACCGCTAACATTGACTCTTTCTTGCGACAGGAGGTCAGAAACCTTGAAGAACCTGGCGAGGGCGAGTTGCAAATTGCCATCAAGGCCACAGGCATCTGTGGCTCCGATGTGTCGTACTACAAGAAATTTGCCAATGGCGACCTCTGCGCCTGCATGCCACTTTCTCTCGGCCACGAGTCTTCCGGTATCGTTGTGGCTATCGGTCCTCGTGTGTCTGGTTTCAAAACGGGCGACCGAGTCGCTCTAGAGGTCGGGGTTCCTTGCGGAAACTGCACCATCTGCAGACGTGGTCGCTACAATCTGTGTAAAAAGATGCGGTTCCGCAGCAGTGCGAAGAGTGTACCGCATTACCAAGGTACCCTCCAGGAGCGGATCAACCACCCTGCCAACTGGTGCCACAAGTACGTTTCCCTCTTATATTCACCTTGTTTACACGGGCCAAAGACAGATATTGACAATATATTCAGGCTCCCTGATCATGTTTCTTTTGACGCTGCTGCTCTGCTCGAGCCTCTTTCGGTTGCCATTCACGCCGTCAACCGTGCCAACCCACTGCCTGGATCCACGGCTTTGGTTACCGGTGCCGGCACCGTTGGCTTACTGACAGCCGCCGTCGCTCGCAATTCGGGTTGCTCCCAAGTTACCATCATGGATATCGATGCCGGTCGCGTGAGATATGCACTCGCCAAGGGATTTGCTACGCACGGTTACGTCGTACCACGACCCTTCCACAACACTTCAAGCAGCTCGTCAATATTTACAGCAAGCTCGGGTGTGTCCACACCTGCCGAGTCGGGAACCACGACACCGGCCAGTTTCTTGTCATTTTCCTCACAGCTCGAGAGCGCCAAGAACATCGCAGGCGAGTTGCAGGGTTTGACCAGACCGCCACCGCACTTGTTGTATGAGGACGATGACGAGGGTTTTGACATCACTTTCGAGTGCACGGGCAAAGAGGTGTGCACACACATTGGTCTGTACGCGACAAAACCGGGCGGCAGACTTGTCATGGTGGGCATGGGCACGCCGATTCAGAACCTGCCCATCTCCGTCGCCCACCTGCGCGAGATTGACATCCTCGGCATCTTCCGCTATGCCAACACATATGCTACAGGCATTCGCATGATGTGCTCCGGAATGCTCCCATCTCTCGACGACATGGTCACACACCGTTTCAAGGGTCTGAAGGAGGCCAAAGATGCATTCGAGATCGCCAGTGGCACGATGGACGACGACGGTAACCTTGTCTTAAAGGTAGTCATTGAGTCGTCGGCGGACTAAACATGTTCACATCACCACGCCATAACACACGCATGGTGGCGTACCATATTTCTTTCGTTATTTTTCTCGAGTCACACTGACTCGATCTCTTACGTTCTTACAAGATCTTGTTGATTTCCCCCCAGTTCGTTGCCTCCTATCTTATGCTCTGGTTTGGTTCGGTTTGGGTTCTGGAGGCTGTGGAAAATTTGTCTTTTGTTGGATGCTTTGCTTGACCTTAATGTGATTGATGACAATAGACTATCTGCACTAGATGCCAAAGGCAAAAAGGCTATCTTGCGTGGTAAGGGTGGGCTGGTCTGCTTCGGGCCTTTTTTTAATCACTGTTCCTCGACAGTCTCTCTTAATGTCTTGAGAGTAGCGAACGCGTTTCCATTATTTATCTTCTTTCTGCTTCTGTTTCGTTTGTTTTTTCTCACAGCTTCAGGTTTAATTGCAGTTCTGCCATATTCACGGTGGTTCTGGCTGGAATACGAATGTCACGGATGTTATGATGTTTAGTGCTATGACACGTCATTATTTTAGACTCTTTAAAGGCCCAGGTGCCCCAATTTGATATTTTGCCGATTGCACTTATTCTTTACATCGCTTAATTACTCTCCTTGCGGTGGCTCTTCCGAAGTTAGCAATTTAACACAGCCACCGCCATTATCAGAGACGTGTTTGCCTCACAAGATGAAAAGAATCGATGCATGAGGACATAATTATGACATATTTGTTCGCTCGTTTATTCTAAAAGATGTGTGGCAGCCCCTGCTTGCCGCGTACCGAAATGCTTGTCTGGCTGTTCACCTTTTTTCCATTTCGTAGCATGAACCGTCGTCACATCCAGTATGCTTGGTCACAAGGGCCATGCATTCTATCTGCAGGGACACGACAGGTCGGCGCTCGTACTCTCCTTGATCCGTTTCCTTCACAACAGCGCGTCCAGGGAGCCCGACCCAGCACCACCTCCTCTCGCAGAAAAGTCTGTGGGCTGGCCGGCCAGCCTGTTCTGCTGCCGTGAGGACGCACGTGCGGTCTCCACGACGCCAAACTTGTCGCCCACCTGCCGCGCCGAGGCAATGCTCTGCATCATGTCGTCCAGCAGCAGCGACACCAGGCGCACGTCGTTGGCCTCGCGCCGACGTTCCTCTTCAAAGGCGCCCGCCACCGGCGGGGGCACGACGAGCGGCAGCCGCTGCACGAGGGCCTGGATCGACCGCAAGATGGGGAGTGACACGCCCGCCGCGTTGGGATCCTCACTCACCGCCTTGGCACCGGCGCCGGCCCGTGACAATGCGTCCTGCGGCAGGCTGGCGAGGTAATTGGTCAGCAGCTCCAGACGTGCATGCAGCATGCGGATGGCGTTGGCACGAGTCGTCAATGTGGCGATCAGCTCTTCTTCCTCGGGGGACAGGTTGCTGTCGTTGGTTGCAGCGCTCGCTGCTGTTGCTCCTGGTGCCGGCGCCTGTGGCTCGTTCAAGGAGGACGATGTCGGTGTCAGCGACGGTGTGCCGGGGGCCGCCACAAGGCGCCTCTTTCCGCGGTTTCCTGACTCTATGGCAACGGCCCGGTCGCGGTTGTTGTTGGGACTCGAGGAACTGGAGGCAGCGTCTTTGCTCGAGTCTTCGGCGGCGGATGTAGCAGTAGCAGCAGTAGAAGCAGAAGCAGAAGCATCCCTAGTCGCTGAGGCGTTGGCCGCACCACGCGCCACAAAGTCGATGCTGATCATCTCGGCCTCGTCGGTCTCAACCGTGTACGTAATCTCGCGCAGCTTAATGGCAAGCTGGGGCGCCGTCGATGCCTTGGCCGTGGATGCATCGGCCATTTCCTTGTCCTCGTTGTCGTCTTCCTGCCCGCTGATCGTCTCGTCTTGCTCGTAGTGCGTCTCGTAGAGTGTCAGAGGCAGTTTGCCGCCTACAGACGGCTCGGCAAGGTCTTCGGGGTGGAAAGCCAGCAGCACAGCGGCGGTGGACTCGCTGCACAACGGCAGAATCTGCTCGTGGACCTGCATGACTTGGGCCGTCGGGCCCGAATGGCCAAGCACCGTGTACCAGCCGACGAGGTCGAGGTGCCGATCCTTATGGACAGTTTTCACTGGAGACGAGAGTCAGCACACATGCAATATGTCGGCAGTTTTGCCACAACCTGGGCCAGACGGTCAGGAGAAGACGCACTCTGCTCGACGCGGTCGTTGAACCAGACGGCGCTGAAACTCGCGTCGCCCCCATCGTTCTTGCTGACAACAAAGTCAAATGTGTGCTCGATTGTGACTTGACGGCCATTCTGCTGGCCCAGCAGTGCACCGACGACAGGGCCAGGCTGCTTCCGCAGAGTATGGCGGGTGATATGGTCGGAGATGGAGAGGAGGACGAGGGGATGGAGGACGGCAGGGACGGCGTCGGCGGCCTTGACGGTTGAGAGGAACGGGTTGGCCGGGGCGGTAGAGGCCACCATGTTGGCGGAAGGGGGAGAGTCGGGGAGATGAGAAGCTGGAGCAGAGGCGGGAGCAGAGGCGACGTGAAGCTCCCTGGAGCTGGCCAAAGGTAGCTAGGGCCCGTGCAGCATCAACAGGCCGGAGCAGTTGTGCTGGACAGTATTCCGGGATTGTTCTATCGTAGTAGTAAGCGACTGGATCGTGAGGTGCTCACGGTTGGCCGACAAGGACAGAAATTGGTGGTTGTTGGACGGTGATGCGCAACGTGCCGATTGAAGCCTGTTTGGTGCTGATTGGCAATGTTCGGAAGACCCCGCCACTTTGGTGAGCACCAGCTGGTTGGAGTTTCCCATCCTGATCCCATTCTGATTGGCCGGAATGGTGAGGCTCGAATTGTGGGTCGCTGGACTTGGACAACTGAATCTCAACTAACACCAATCGCGTTTCGTCACTTGGCAGCAGAAGGCATGGGAGGTGAATTCTGCGTATCTTGTTTGTTTTGTTTTTCAATAATAGTATGTATATGTATTTGAATATTTAATAACATTTTATAGTAGCAATGTTTTTTTAAACAAAAGGAGCAAACCGTCGATAATCATGCGTTGGCATAAAAAGAAATTTGAAAAACATGCGAAATAAAAGAACATTTTATTATTGAACATATCCAATTAGAACATCAATAAATAAATTCACTGAAAACAAATGTTGTATTCTGTCGGACCACTGCCAGAATTTAAAAAGCCAGAGTGGTATGAGTGGCGCGGTTACTTTTGAACATAGATTGTATTGGCAACACCCAAGACTAAAACCAGAGGATGAGTCTTCCCTATAGAGAAGAGTGACTTCAGGTAGATATCTCTATAGCTGAAGGGACGCACCGTTTATAAGAGTCAGTTAAGTTTTCAGCGTGACCCGTGGCACTTTTGGCCTATCATAACGCATAGACAGCAATGTGTCGCATACTATATTTACCAGAGCTGTCGAGAGGGCTCGCAGACAATGCGAAAAGAGTGCTGTTGGTCGGAGGTACACTTGTCGTGCCTGTCTGCGTGTTGGCATGTGCTCCGATAACAACGAAGTTGCGCTGACAGCATGTGCAGACAATAACAGCACGGCTATTAGTCAACATCGAGTCGACACCGGCGTGACATGCGTCTCCGTCTTGTTCTATTGGCCTCATTTTTCCCATTTAGGGCAAAGCCCGACCAACAGACAAGCCCTTGCCCTCTGGGTCTGTTTGCTCTCCCCTCTTTCAACTACTGAGCAGGTCGTTTTTATTTGTTTATTTTCGTTTTTTTTTTTTTAATATATTTGAATATTGTATTTTTTTCTGATCCCGTGACATTTCTTCGTAATTTTTGAGGCGTTTCCTCGTTCCCCATTACTTCCGTCCCTGCAACATTTCCGATTCAGTCAATCAGCGGTGCTCAGACACATCCCCTCGCTTTCCATCTCGCCATTTATCGTTCGACTATTCGTTGCCGTCAACTGCCGTCACCTGATTCGTTTGGATACTGCCGAGCAATCATGGCTCCAGACAATGCACCAAACGAGAACTCCCACCACCATAGACATCGCCACACAACCGTGTTTCGGCCACAGCTGCAGCCTCTGTGTGTCTCGTCGGGTTTTCGGCTGACCTCAACAAGCGGAATCCATAAGGAACACCAGAAGCAGCATGTCACGACATGCGGCACATATTACGGCGGCCCGTTTGACGAGCACGTCGACGCACTGGCAACAAGAACGGCCTGTCGGTGCAGCACGAACAGCCCCCACATCTGCTGCCTCTCACTGAGAGAGTATGCGGCGTCCTGCGGCCGCCCGTCCCAGACCCGGTCTCAGCCCCGTTGCAGAACCAGGATGTTGGTCTTGCAGTGCTCCATGGATCGGACCTCGGCGAGCAAGTCAACTCAGCACGAGCCCATGACGACCTCGCGGGCCGAGACCGAGGCCGAAGCCAATATCGATTGCGATCACATGTCCGACTCAGACAGCGTCCTATGCCACGATCCCGAAGACAACCACGCCGGCTCCGATGTCGACGAGGCCGACGCCGACAACATGAGTGAAGACGACGCTCCTGTCATGGAAGGGAGCGCTGACATGACCAACATTCCCCTCGGCGACCCCGTCGAAGACCTCGTCCTCCGTGAATACGATACACTGGCCGAGTTCGATGGAGAGGCCAATAGCGACGACGGGTTCGATGTGCCCAGCCCGAGCGAGATCGAGCCGCAGGCGCCGGAGGAAGCCGAGCGCCGCCTCGTATTTGGCAACAGGATCGACAATATGTTGGCAGCCGCGGCAAACTTGCCGTGGTCCTATTTGGATCCCTCTAGCTTCCGCAGTCGCCGTTGGCTCCTGTGAGCAGTGGATGTATATTTTGGGTTTGTTCCGTCGTCGAGTCATTTCCCCCTGTACACTGCTTCTTTTCTTTTGAACTTTTGAGCCTTTGTCCTCTCTGTCTCTCCTTTTCCTTACTGACTTCGTCTGGCAAGGACCATTTTGTTCTGAGATATCGAATTGTGTTTGGTACTGTCGCTCTTGTCAGCCTTTTCTTGGATCGATTATTCTGTTTTATACCCCCAAGGATTCGTCCTTGCCGTTTTGCTTCTTAAAAATATGTTCTGAAAGCTATTCAAATAATTATTTCATCTTCATGTGTACTTTGCTCTACTGTAACTGGCTGGTCTTATAGAGGAACGGAACTGCAAACACACGAGGCTTGGCCAGATTTGGAGGCTGCGGGGGCGACTTGCTTTATTATGAGGGTCGCCCAGGGCCTGGGGTTAACCCCGCCTAAAGGAATCTGACTGGCTCGCAGGGTGGGTGTGGCTTTAGGAGTTTAGGAGCCGCAGTGAGCCTGGAGTGTGCCACTTTAGCACCAAAGACGCTAAAACGCGCTCAACGCGTCCGAATATGCACCTCTTCAGAGCACTTTACCATACTCTGTACATCGCTTCACCATATCAACAGAATACCAACAGCACATTGGCACTCGACACAAGCGGTGCGGTGCGACGAGCATAGGTTCAGACAGCGCCCCGACATGCCACCATCAAGTCGAAAACGGGCAAGATCCGACGCGGATGCCGGCCGTTCTGCCCGCCGGCGATCACGGCGTGAGGAAGACGGCGACGCCAACGGCAGTGAGAACGACGACAGCCGGGGCGAAGACTCGCTGGCCGGCCCGAGCAATGGCGGCGGTATGGACGTTGACGACGACGGAGCTTCTAGCAACGCACAGAGCTCCTGGCGCCTCCCCGCGGGCTACGACGACAGCAACCGCGCATTCCTCCAAGCACTCATGGCGCACGGCGCCCTGACATCCCAGCAAGCCCAGCAGGTCCTGGCTCCCATTCTCAACGTGAAAAAGAATCTCGAAGCGACGGCGGCCGGTGCCAGCCCGACGGAGATCCAGCACCTGTCGCCCGAGGACGTTACAGTTGACACGCTGCGGCACTACATCAACCAGGCCAAGGCGGCGCTGGTGCCGCTCGACTTTGACATTCGGTCGGCGACGAACGAGCGGTCGATGGGCAGTGGCGGGAGTCGTGGGAGCGGTGGCAGCACCGACCGCCGCGTCTGGGTCCTCGTCAGCACCGACAAAGACCCCAAGTCGCACCTGGCCGTGCTGTTTACGCCACGCAAGCTCGCGTTCATCCACCGCCTGCTGGACGCCCTGTTCGACACGTACAATACCCCGCGCATCGAGGCACTGTGCATTACGGAGCAGCAGGCTCTTAAATTGTCGCGGCCACCGCGGACGGCAGCGCGGCCGAGTGTGGGCGGGGAGGCCGACGGAGCTGGTGCTGGTGCTGGTGCTGGTGCTGGTGCTGGTGCTGGTGCTGGTGCCGACGCCGACGGTAATGCCGCAGCGGCTGCGGCCCGCGACAAGGGCCTCAAGCACTCCGTCGTGCTGTCGCTGCTGGCGTCGTTGGTCCGCCAGGGGTGGCTGGCCAAGAGCGCACAGGGATTCTATGCGTTGACGACACGCGCCCTGCTCGAGCTGGAGCCGTTCCTCGTCGACCAGTACAACGAAGAGCCGGCCGGCACGACGGCCACCACCTGGCAGCGCATCAAGTACTGCGCCGCGTGCCGCGAACTCATCACCTCGGGCCTGCGCTGCGCGACGCCGACGTGCACGCTGCGCCTGCACGACCACTGCGAGGAGGCCTTTTGGCGCACGCAGGCGGGGCGCAACACCACCACCACCACCAACAACAACAACAACAGCAACAGCAACCACCGCCACCGCCACCGCCACCGGTGTCCCCAGTGCGACGCGCCCTGGGGCAAGGCCGAGGATGCCAACGGCGAGGTCGAGGGCAAGCTGCACTTTGTCGGCGAGCGCGCCATCACGTCGACGGACGTCTACCGGCGCAAGAAGCGCCAAGGCCGGCCAAGCGAGGGCGTCGACGAGCTGATGCGCACGCTGCAGCCGCGGGCGGCCACAGGAGGCAGCGGGCGAGGAAGAGCGGGAGGAGGGGAGGACGAGGTGGCTGCGCCGTTCCGGCAAGCAGCGTCCCGGCGACGGGAGGTTGCAGCAGACGGCGAGGAAGAGTAGCACTACGACGACATGCGGATGGAGGACGTGGAGAGACACATCTGGGTTTCTTTTGGTATTTTGTTTGGCACGGGCGGCCGGGCGTTTTCGGTGTACAAAAGGAGCAGATTTTGCTCGTAGATCCGGCACATGGCAATGGTATCAGCCATGAATTAATCTACATTCTACAAAGTGCATAAATCCCAGCTGGCATCTAGCATCACAATGTGGTTCACACATCGTACGTACCGACAACATTTCCTTGATGCTGATTCGTCAATTTTGCACAGCCTGTCATTGTCGAAATCCTGGTGCCTTGCTCTTGGGAATGACATCACCCCGCTGCGGGTTCTGGAACAGTGGCGGTGGTCGTGCTACAGCGGATTAGCGCCCGCTGCTAAAAAGCTTCAGCGGTCGGCGACCCGCCATTTGCGCTGTTCCACTGGCGCCAGGAGGAGGCGAGCTGAAAAGCGGCCTCCCAGCCGCCCTCTAGTGACTTCGAAGCTTGCGGGACAGATAGAAAGCAGTGAAAACGACAATCGATAAAGGGTCCGACTTCCCTTCTTTTCTTCTCTTATTTTCGTATCGATCAATTCCTTTTAACAGTCAAACTTACGATACCCAACCGCCGTGATGCTCGAATACTTGAACACCAAGAAGAGCCGCAAACCGGTGCCGGAGAGCGCCAGTTCCAGCGCATCACCACAAGAGGCGCCGACGAAACCGCCTCGGCCGACGTCGACTGGCCCTGTTGAGGACGTTCCGGTGCTTGACCGGGACGAGCAGTCGTTCCTCGAGAACCTGACGCTCAACTGGGGCCCCTCGGACAACGAAGACAATTATGCCGACGGCGACGACGACGGGACCGGCGAGCGGCCGCCGCTGCCACCGCGCATCAAGACACCCGACCTGACCTGGGACAGCGACAGCGAGTCGTTTGTGCGCGGCGAGCGCCTCGTGGCCGTCGACAACGACGTGTTGATGCCGACAGAAGCGCGGGACAAGGGCAGCAGCGGCGTCGTCAGCGGCGGCATCAGTGGCGTCGGCCGGCGGCTGTCGACCCTCTTCAGCTCCAAAAAGGGCAAAGACAAGGACCGGCCGCATCCGGCACACCTCGTGGTGCCAGGCAAGGTCGACGTGGATGCCGACGCCGCTTCGTCCAACAGCCAGCTGGCCGCGGCCGTGACGCCGACCGAAGAGGACCGGGAGCGTGCCGATCTGGCGAGAGTGCTGGACGATCTGGACCTCGGCAAGGACGGCCAGGACAACAAGGACAACAAGGACGGCACACCGCGGGGCAAGCAGTCCAAGGCCAACAAGTTTGCCGTCTCGCTGTCGGCCGAGTCCGCCGAGCTCGTCCGCCGGTTTGTCCTGGTCCTCAAAGACCTGGTGAACGGCGTCCCCACGGCGGCCGACGACCTCAAGAGTCTGCTCGACGACCGCGACGGCGCCCTCGCCCGCGGCTTTGAGCGCCTGCCGTCGAGCCTGCGCAAGCTCGTCTCCCAGCTGCCCGGCAAGCTCACGTCCTCGCTCGCGCCCGAGCTGATGGCGGCCGCCGCCGCGTCCCAGGGCGTCGCGTACGAGGCAGAAAAGGAGGGCGTGACGGCCAAGGGCGCCGCCAAGACGATGCTGCTGCCGCTGCTCACCAAACCCAACGCTATTGTCAAGATGCTCAAGGCCATTATGAACGCGCTCAAGCTGCGCTGGCCTGCCTTTATCGGTACCAGCGCCATCTGGAGTGTGGCCTTGTTCTGTACGTGACCGCATACCGATTTTTTTTTTGATTTTTTTTTTGATTTTTTTTTTTTTTTTTGGCGCGATTCATCCCTTGCTAACCATCCATCAGTGCTCCTGTTTGTCCTCTGGTACTGCCACAAACGCGGCCGTGAGGTGCGGCTGGGAAAAGAGGCCAGCGATGCCGCTGCTGGCCCTTCCAACACAGAAGCACCTGGCGGTGCCGAGACAGCCGGCACGCCCGAACCGCCGATTGTGATCGACAAGGTCTCTCCGAAAGAGGAGGCCGCGGCCGCGAGTGGCCTACCGCGGCCGCCCATTGGCCCAGATGCGCCGAAATCGAAATAAGAAACGAGATACCCCGGGGGAAGAGGACCGCAAAGGATATTTAAAACATTGTATAATTTTCTTGCTTTTATTTTTGTCTTCATATTCTTCTTTTTTCAGACAGAATAAGTTCACGAGGGATGAGTGCGGACTCATGTTGGAAACCAGAGCAACTGTAATATACACGCAATTGAATCATTCACGGTGCTTTTATATTTTGTTCGTCTCGTGTTTGTACACGCCATAAAACGCCTGTGCCCTTATATCATTCGTCCATCGACGCGTCTCGTCCGCCTTCCAGAGCGGCCCGGGCTGTCCTCGTGCTGCTGCTTGCGTCGGCCACGGCGCCTCCTCCGCCCGCGCCGCCGCCGTCCAGCATCCAAAAGTACACCTCATCGACAATGTCGTACACAATGTCCTCGGCAATCTGCTCCGCGTACCGCTCTGCGACAGGCCGCAGCTTGGTCAGCGGCGGCGGCGCCGTCGGCACCGTCTTGCGCGAGAGACCGTCGTCGTCGCCCGTATCGACCATCGTGACGTCGCCAATGTCCTCGTCGTCCTCACCGCCGCCGCTGCCGTCAATCTTGGGCTTGAGATTCTCTCCTGGCGGCGGGTACCAAAAGTCCGGGCCAAAGTTGACCTCCACGGCGCCGCCCCCAAACACGCTCACGGCCGGGTAGTACCCTAACGTGCCGTCGTCGAGCCGCTCACGCGCGCCCTCTTGGATCTTGCTGTTGGTCGATGACGCCGGCGGCAAGAACGACAGCAGGTTGGTCCAGGGCGTGCCCCGCAGCTTGCCGTTCTTGTACACGCGGATGTGCGACCCGGGCAGCGTGCGCATGCAGACCACCGGGTGGTTGGGGTTGGGCGGTTCGCCGCCGCCCGGCACGCCCGCTGCGCCCGGAGGCTGCCTCTTGATGGCTGCGTTGTGTACCGACGCCGGGTTGCTTGCACCGTTTAGGGTGGGTGCCGGGTTCGCCAGGTCCTCGAGCTCGCGGCTGGGCACGTAGTCGAACTTCTCAAAGACTGTCTTGGTCGTCTGGAAACGGAACGGGATGCGGTCGCGCACAATGTTGGGCCCGTCGTCGTGATCGTAGCCGTGCCGGCTGTCGTCGTCCGTGTCCACGGCCGGGTTGTACGTGCCATGCACCACCTTGCGGTGCAGCGCCTCGGACGGCAGCTGGATCTCGAGGCCGATGACGTCGCCCTCGCGAATGTCCTCGTCGTCATCGCCGTCTGTGCTTCCATTTCCACTCCCCGTCCCGCTGCCATTCCCGCTGGTTGCTCCACTGCCGCTCTTCTGTGACACCGACAAGAACTCCTTGGGCCGCGACATGTGCACCTTTTGGCCTTTGCGGTCGCGGATGCCGTAGCCATATGCGTCGTAGCCGACCGGTGCGTCGCGCGACGCCTCGCGCCGTGCCCATCCCACGCGCACATGGCCGTGCGACGGTGGTTCACCGGCCTTTTTGCCGTCTGTCTCCTTCTGCTTGCCATTGCTCCGGTCGCCGTCCTTCAAAATACCACGCGTCACTTTACACTCCCAATACCACCGGCCCTGTCGTGCCGCCACATTGGCGCGCGCCGTGCGGAAGCCGCTGTCGCCGTGGATGTTGAGTCCCGTCTGGTCAAAGAAGACATTGGGCGGAGCGTCTTCGAAGCTAAAGTGCGCATAGTGCGGCTTGGGCTCCGTCTGCCGGAAGTAGTGTGAGGACGGAAAGCGAGGGTCGGCAATGCCGCTCTCGTAGACGTACCCACGTCGGTTGATGGGTCTAATGAACCGTTAGCATTTTTCAAGGAGGCCACCTCGGTCAAAACAAGAACAAAAAGAAGATAGAGAACGGGACACGACATACTGTTCAGAAAACAGCTCCAAAAACTCAACCTCCTGCCCACTGGCGAGCTGCACACTGTGCCGGGCCCGGTGGATGGGGCTCGCTGGCGGTTCAAAGTCGCTGGGTCGCAGTGGGCCAGCAAGCCGTACGCGCACCGGCAGGCCCTCGTTGGCATTCGCAGAGGCGGTTGCCTTGGTCGTCGTCGTGCTCGCCGTCTCGTTCCCGCTCCCTCCGCCAGCGCCAGCGCCAGCGCCACCGCCTACGCTAAACGTCACCGTCGACTCATTGGGTCCCCCGCCTCCCGCCGTCTCCTTCCGTTTGGGCTCAGGTGTCGCACGCGACAGCCCGCCTTCGGCCGCTTTGGACTCGCGCTTCTTGAGCGACTCCTTCTTGACGCGCTTCTCGCGCACCGCCACATTCGGCACATCGTCGCCCGGCCCCGTCGGCTTGGGCGTCGACCGCGACTCGGGGTTTAGCGGCGACCGCACCGCGGGCGTGTGGTCCTCGTCGGCCAAGGCGCGCTTCTGCGGCAGCGTGGAGGGCGGGTTCGGCGGCGCTGCGGGAACCGGCGACGCCGAGGAACGCGATGCGGCCGCGCCAGGGGGCGGCGTGGGTGATTTCCCCGCGGCAGCTTGCGAGGCAAAGGACGTATAAGGGATCGTCGGCGGTGGGATGGGTGTTACTCTGACGCCCGTCGGCGCTGCTCGCGGCGCTTCGTCCGGGGCAACCTCCGCGTCGGCGGCCATTGAGAGGGCATAAGCTAGCGGAGAACAAAATAGACTGAAGACGAGCGCGTCTCCGATTGATATCAGTCGAACCGGTTATGCAGACCGTCGTGAAGCAAGGGGGGCTGGCGGTGTGGTTGGTTGCAGCGTCGACGGTCCAGCTCTGTTGTGCTGGGGCCACTGAAGCTATTTGAAGAGGCGCGTCGGTCTTTGTGTTGTTGGCGGTTGTGTCAGTTGGCGTCGCAGTGAGTGGCAGCGCCTGCAAAATCGGCCAAATGTGGCGCTAGCTGGATTTGGCCAATTAGAAACCCCAGCACATTTAGGCTGCACGCAAGCCACACTTCAGCCTCGTGCCGTGCCTGCGGCTCCAGAATTTTCTGGCTCTTGCCCTGCAAAGCGCCTGCAGCAGGAAAAAAGTCGCGACCTGCGCTGTGTCGCGTTTCTTTGCCTCACTGGCTGCAGTTGCGCCAACAAAACCAACATCGACCTAATCTGCACCATCAACCCCCGCACCCCACGACCGATCCCCGACCTCGAGACGATCGGACCTGCATTGAATTGCATTTGTCTCGTCTTTATTCATCCGACGAAAAAAGCCGAGGGGTTGTGTCGACCGTCCCTGCGCGCGCCTTCGGGTCGCACCCCTTTCAACAAACCACCAGTCTTTATCCACAGCTGCAACCATGGTTGCCGTCAAAGGCGGCGTGTGGACAAACATCGAGGACGAGGTTCTCAAGGCCGCCATCTCCAAGTATGGCCTCAACCAGTGGGCGCGCGTGTCGTCGCTGCTGGCGCGCAAGACGCCCAAGCAGTGCAAGGCGCGCTGGAACGAGTACCTTGACCCCAGCATTCGCAAGATCGAATGGAGCAAGGAGGAGGACGAGAAGCTGCTGCACTTGGCCAAGCTGATGCCCACTCAGTGGCGCACCATCGCACCCATTGTCGGCCGCACGGCCAACCAGTGCCTCGAGCGCTACCAGAGGCTGCTGGACGAGGCCGAGCAGCGGGAGGCGTCCGAGTTTGGGCTGACGGGCGACGCCGACGGCGAGGCGTCCGCACCGTCGGCCGACCACGTGCGGCGGCTGCGGCCTGGCGAGGTCGACCCGGATCCGGAAAGCAAACCGGCACGGCCGGACACAATCGACCTGGACGAGGACGAGAAGGAGATGCTGAGTGAGGCGCGTGCTCGCCTGGCCAATACACAGGGCAAGAAGGCGAAGCGGAAGGCGCGTGAGCGGGAACAGGAGGAGTCGCGGCGGCTGGCCAATCTGCAGAAGCGGCGCGAGCTCAAGACAGCCGGCATCAACATCAAGGTGGTGACGCGGCGCAAGGGAGAGATGGACTACAACGCCGACATTCCCTTTGAGAAGGCGCTCGCGCCGGGCTTTTACGACACGAGCGAGGAGATTGCGCGCAACGAGCGCCAGCGCGCGGCCATTGACCCGCGGCTGCAGCAGGCGTCCAACAAGCGCAACCGCGGCGACGCGGACGCGGACGAGGCCGGGCGCAAGAAGCGCAAAAACGACGGCGACAAGAAGGACAGTCTGTCGGCGGCGGCCATCAAGGCTGGCCAGCAGCAGCGGCTGCGCGAGGCCGAGCAGAGCAGCAAGCGCCGCGCACTCGTCCTTCCCTCGCCACAAGTAAGCGAAGGCGAGCTCGAGGAAATTATCAAGATGGGCGCCATCGGCGAGCGCGCCAACCAGCTGGCGCAGGCCAGCGACAATGAGGCCACGCGCGGCTTGCTGCAGGACTACTCGACCATCCAGGGCACCGGCGGACCCATCCGCACCCCGCGCGCGGCGCCCGAGGAGGACCGCGTCGCCAACGAGATCCGCAACATCCGCGCCCTGACCCAGACACAGTCGTCGCTGCTGGGCGGCGAGAACACACCGCTGCGCGAAGGGTCCGGGTCGACGGGCTTCGAGACGGCTGCACCGCGCAAGCAGGTCGTAGCTACGCCCAACCCACTCGCAACGCCACTGCGGACAGGGGACGGCGCTGGCGCTGGCGCTGGCGCTGGCGGCAGCGGCGTGCTCGCGACTCCGCTGCGGCCAGGCCAGACACCGCTGCGCACGCCGCGCGACGGCTTTGCGTTGAACGACGGCAGCGGCATGAATGGCGGACAGACACCGGCCCAGCGCCAAGTGGCTCTCCGGGGCCAGCTGCAGCGGGGCCTTGCATCACTGCCGAAGCCCAAGGACACGGACTGGGAGCTGGAGCTGCCGGACGAGGCGGACGAGAACGACGAGAGGGCGGCACGGACTGCCGAGCAGCAAGTAGAGGACGCTGCAGATCGCGACCGACGGGCACGCGAGCACCAGGAGGCGCTGGCGGCGCTCGAGCGCAAGCGGCGGACGCAGGTCATGCAGCGCAACCTGCCACGGCCAGCGTCCGTAGACCTGGCGGCGCTGCTGGCGAGCGCTGCCAGTCTCGAGGATCCGGCTGCGGCGCTTGTCGCCCACGAGGCCGCGCTCCTTGTCGCCAACGATGCAGCCAAGTTCCCGCTCACAAAAGCGGCGGCCCGGCCGGCGACTACGGTGTCTCTCGAGACGATCGGTGACGACGATCTGGCCGAGGCGCGGCTGCAAGTGCTGCTTGAGGCCAAGAAAGCGCCGCCACGCGACGCGATCGACGCGGCCTGGGCCGGTCTTGTTCCCGCGTCGGACGACGACGGCCACACGACGGCGCTGCTGCTCGGCCTCGGCTGCTACGACGACGACGACGAAGACGAGGTCGCGTCTCTTCAGACGGCACTCGAGGTAGGCCACGACCATATGCCGCGCACCCACTCCGTTGTTATTTGTTTGGTGTACTTTTGCTAACTATCTACAGGCCGTCCGTGACGCTACGTTGGCGTCGGCCGAGAAGGGTGCCAAGCTCGAGAAGAAGCTGACGGTGCATCTCGGCGGCTACAAGCACCGCGCCGATACGCTGCGCAAGAAGATGACCGACGCACACAGTGCGCTCGGCAAGGCCCAGGCGGCGCTCAACGGCTTTGAGATCCTGGCCCGGTCCGAGGACCAGGCGCTGCAACGGCGGCTGGCCGGCCTGCGCGACGAAGTGAGCTTCATCAGCCGACGCGAACGCGAGGCCCAAGAGCTGTACCAGGCAAACCGGGAGGAGCTGCTGGCGCTGGGTGGGCAGGTGGCCACAAATGGGCATTGAGGTCTTTGGCCATTTTCGGGATTTTTTTTGTTTGCATCCTGCATTGTATAATTGTATCTTGTCATCGTCTACGGATTTACAAAAAGGGCTCATGGGAATAGGTACCTTTCTTTGTTTCATTCCCTCTACTTTTCACATAGCAAGTGGCATTTCTACAACCTACCTACAAACCTCTTTTGATGCAGTGGTGCTGACAGGCCAAGAAACGGCATTCGTGATGGCTTGGACAGCATGGAGTGTCTCATATCGGCGACATACTTGAGACCAAATACCGAGCGTTGTCGCCACAGTAGGTCTCCTGATATGCCGAAACAGACTGTCGACGGAGGCTGTTGCTTCTGTCCGTCGTATATGAGACAAGGAAGGGCCTTCGCCTCGATCAAGTTGCCTCGTGTCAGCGGGATATCGGTCCGATGTGTTGAAAGGGGACATTGCTGCCTTTGCCCCAATTTAGATTAAACAGTATTGGTGTTGTCAATGACCTTCTGACCATCTGCCGTCATCGTCTATATGTGGCCCGTGGCGAATGTCCGAGCTTTCGTGTACACTCTGTAGAGTCGATCGGGGTCTGCTAGTGTCGGCTCTTGATTTGTCTCGACGCCAAAAGTGGCTTGCTGTCGATTCGTTCTTTTTGTCGTTGTTTTTGTTTCTCGCAGCCGATGATGTGTTGAAAGTGTCTGGGTGTCGTTGAGGCTGCCTATTTCTCGGTGTATTTTATTATTTTGTGCTCCGTGACTGTTCAAGCGCCCTCTCCCTGTTCTCGGTACACATTCGACTATGATCCTATGTGTTGTGTTGATAGGTGGCGAACGTGGTCGAGTGTCGTCGTGCCTTTGCTCGATGCCTTGATCGTTCTTGTCTCGTGATGCATCCTCATAGCTTCTCTTTGTCGTCGACTGTCGGAGTGATGTCCGTCGCCGATGCGTAACCAAAACTGATCCGGTCGAAATCAAAAGAAACCTGAGAGCATCTTGCTCGGCCAAGGACATGATGTCGTTCTTATATGTACGGAGAACGGCAGACATGAATGCCTTCTCACGGATTTCTCCCACGCCATGTGCCCTGGCTGTTTTTGCCACCTATTTTCCCTTTTCATCCCCTTTCTTCCTTTTGCCTCCTTCCTATTTCAACCAGCCATGGCTCTTATTTTTTGATTTCATCCTACGAGATACGTGGAATATGAGCAAGAAAAGGGAGCAAACGCGGCTGCTATTTCGGAAAGTTTGAAAAGCGAAAGGAGGCAAAAAACGGCGGATGAAGGCGATGGAGATGCCATTGCACCGTAGAGGCGAGAAAACAAGGCACGAGATAGGGCAGGAGCATAGAGACAAGCGCCTGAGCCGACTTGGCTGAAATGGATAACATTGTTGGCTGAAGTAGAGGGTGTTAGAAATAGACCACCGTCCATCCACGATGAATTTTGTGCCCTTTGCCATGCCTCGGATTGCCTTGTCAGTCACCGTAAAAGATGAATCAATATTAGCCTCGACTTCTTTTGCCACGTTCTTCGCATCATATTTTACGCGTCGGCAAAGTTGCTGCGAGAGGACGCTGATGCCCTGTTCACGTACATGCCGAATTTCCAGGTAGAGTTTAATTGCATTGGAAGATTGCCAGGAACGAAAAAACATCTTGTAGATATGAGGCTCGAAGCGTGGGGGTTGGTAAACAACCGATATCTACGTTAAGATACCAACATACCCGCCTGCATTAGCATATCAAAATATCAAAATATCAAAGCCATGATACTTCTCATACTTGTCTTGGTATACTAGGTTGTCATGATGACATATAATAACATTGTCACGTGTGGTAAATTTTACAATACCAAATTATCTCAGCGTGCTCGCCAAGAG